GTCAGCAGTTTTCTCGCCAAGACTTTTGCGTGTCCGTACCTAATACGTATGCATGCGTATTAATCGACATATTTCTAGAGTCGCACTTGGCCAGGAGACGTACTGGCAAAATTTCAGCATCAAAACTTGCGCGATTAGCGAGTAGAAAAACCTGGACACACGAACACACACACACACACATATATATATATAAATGGCTGCACAGTAAAAAAGCATAAAAATAAAGAAGCTTTGCTAAACTTATTTCCCGTGGCATATGTCACCCTTTGTCAGGATTTCTATTCTTAATAAAAAGATTTTGTGGAAAGTCATAAAATTTTAAGACTGGATCACCGGACTGCTAATTTTCATGCATTCTTTGCATTTATAAAATACAAAGACATACGAACGCGTGAAGTTTGACGTAACTCCCTAACCAAAGCAGCTGAGTGCTGAATTTTTTTGAACAAATCCCAGACCGCGTTTATTGGGAACCATTGTGGTAGCATGTGACGACGTGGTAACCAGCCTCAGTGAGAAACATCTACCGGAAAAAACATTGCTATTAGTGACAAACATCTGCAGGGGAACCTGCAACAAAATGCACATATGCGTTACAGCAGCTGGCAACAAACACTACTTTCCAACAGAAACCGCTTTGGAACGGACACCACTTTGCAACGGTGCAACGGGCACAATTTTGCGACAGAAACCGCTTTGTAACAGACACCATTTTGTAACAGACACCCCTTAGCAACACACCACTTTGGAATTGAAACTAGTCTGCAACAGAAACCACTTTGCAATAGAAACTACTTTGCAAAAGAGACGGCTTTGCAATAGAAACTACTTTGCAAAAGACGCCACTTTGCAACAGAAACCACCTTGTGACGAACTCTACTTTGGAACCTACACTACTTTACAACAGAAACCCACTTTCCAACGGAAACCACTTTCGAAGAACACCACTTTGCGACGGGTACAATTTTGCAAAGGAAACCACTATGCAACAAACACCACTTTGCAACGGAAATCGCATCGCAACACACACCATTTTGCAACAGACATCACCTTGCGACACTTTGTAGCAGGACACCACTTTGTAACAGAAACTAATTTGCAGCAGGAACCACCTTACATTAGAAATTGCTTTGCAACAGACAATACTTTGCAATCAAAACTACTCTGCGGCGAACCCTACTTTGGAGCGTACACCACTTTGCAACAAAAACCACTCTGCAGCAGATGTCACTTTGCAAAAGAAACCGCTTTGGAATAGACTCCACTTTATAACAAAATCTACCTTGCAACAGAGACTGCTTTGGAATAGACATCAGTTGCAACAAGCACCACTTTGCACCAGACACGACATTGCAACAGACAAACTTTGGGATAGGCATTAGTATGCAACAGACACCACTCTGCAACAGATACCACTTTGCAGCAGAAACCACTCTGCAACAGATACCACTTTGCGACAAACACCACATTGCGACAGACACCAGTTTGCAAAGAAACGACTCTGCAACAGAAACCACTTGCAACAGAAACAGCTTTGCGACAGACACCACTTTGCGACAAAAATCACTCTGCAACACAATCCACTTTGCAACAGAAACCACTTTGCAACAGATAACATTTTTGAATGGACACCAATGTGCAACAGGCACCACTCTGCAAAAGACGCCACTTTGTAAAAGGCACCACTTTGCAACAGGCATCAGTTTGGAACAGGAGCCACTTTGCAAGACACGACAGAAACTACTTCGCAACAGAAACCACATTGCAACAGACACCACTTTGCGACAGACACCATTTCCGACAGACACCACTTTGCAAAGAAACGACACTGCAACAGAAACCACTTGCAGCAGAAACAGCTTTGCAACAGAAATTACCTTGCAACAGAAACCACTCTGCAACAGATAACACTTTGGAAAGACACCAGTCTGCAACAGACACCAGTCTGCAACAGACACCACTCTGCAAAAGGCGTCACTTTGTAAAAGGCACCACTTTGCAACAGGCACCAGTTGGCAACAGGAGCCACTTTGCAACAGACGACAGAAACCACTTTGTAACAGGAACCACTTTGCAGCGGAAACTATTTTCCAACGGACACCACTTTGCAGCAGACGCCACCTTGCAAAGAAACCACTATTCAACAGAAACCACTTGCAACAGAAATAGCTTTGCAACAAAAACCACTTTGCAACAGAAGCCACCTTGTAACGGAAAGTACTTTGCGACAGATAACATTTTGGAATAGACACCAATCTGCAGCAGACACCACCCTGCAAAAGACGCCGCTTTGTAAAAGATACCACTTTGCAACAGGCACCAGGTTGCAACAGGAGCCTCTTTGTACATACGGCAGAAACCGCTTCGCAACAGAAACCACTTTGCAGCAGGCACCACTTTGCGATAGACACCACTTTGCAAAGAAATCACTCCCCAACAGAAACCACTTGCAACAGAAAAGGCTTTGCAACAGAACCCGCTTTGCATCAGATAACACTTTGCAACAGAAACCACTTTGCGACAGACACCACTCTGCGACAAATACCACTTTGCAAAGAAACGACTCTGCAGCAGAAAACACCTGCAACAGAAACAGCTTTGCAACGGCAACCACGTTGCAAAGAAACCATTCTCCAACAGAAAACACTTGCAGCAGAAACCATTTTGCAGCTGGACCCACTTTGCAACAGAAACCACTTTGCAGCACATAACACTTTTGAATGGACACCAATTTGCAACAGACACCATTCTGCAAAAGATGCCACTCTGTAAAAGGCACCACTTCGCAACAGAAGACACTTTGCAACAGGCATCACTTTGTGACAGACACGACTTCGCGACAGATACCACTTTGCAAAAAAACGACTCTGCTGCAGAAACCACTTGCAACTTAAACAGCTTTGCAACGGAAGCCACTTCGCAACAGAAAACACTTTGCAACAGAAACCACTTTGTAATAGGCACCACCTTGCAAAGAATCCACTCTGCAAAAGAAACCACTTGCAACAGAAAACATTTGCAACAGAATCCACTTTGTAGCAGAAACCACTCTGCAACAGAATCCACTTTGCAGCAGAAACCACTTTGGAATAGAAGCCAGTCTGCAACAGAGAATACTTTGCGACAGACACCACTTGCAACAAAAACCACTCTGTAACAGAAACCACTTTGCGACAGAAACCACGCTGCAACAGATAACACTTTAGAATAGACATTAATCTGCAACAGACACCACTCTGCAAAAGACGCCACTTTGTAAGAGACACTACTTTGCAACAGGCAACAGTTTGCAACAGGAGCCACTTTTGCAACAGACGACAGAAACCACTTCGCAACAGAAATCACTTTGTCGTTTTGCAGCAGAAAGCACTAAGTAATAGATACCACTTGGCAATAGACATCGCTTTGCAACGGACACTACTTTGCAACAGACACCAGTTTCCAACAGGCATCAGTTAGCAACAAGAATCGCGTAGTGGCAGCTGGTGTCTTTGTTCCGTGCGGTGTTTGGAAGTGTGTCCCCAGTTGTGCAGATCATAGTTTTCTGATTTGGCCTTAATATCAAACTGTTCTGCTTTTCTTTTAACTATTTCGTGTTGGCAAGTTTTAGATGCTTTACAGTTTTCGCTCATATATGCTATGCTTTAAGTGCATAGTAAGTTTCAAGACCGCCGGATCCTGGTGATGCGTTTTTGCTTATATGCAAATGCAAAAACGCATATTGTGACAACCCCTGTGTGTGCGTG